AACGTTACAATATTTTATATTCATTCAGGATAACAACGAGATAAGACGGTGGTTTCTGTTTTCCTTTTTTTGGACAGCTTTTTGCAGAAAGGAACCAACCCACAAAAACAGGATTTCTATTGTAATACCATAATATCGTGTCAAAAGCCATAATCTTATCTGCAAAAAAGATCCAAACCGATTCGTAGATCATAGTACCATCTGGCAACATACGAACCAACCCACCAAGTAACTTTGCCAAGTTAAACTACCTGCAGAAGGGATCCAAGCGGCTTGGCTCCTCTCTGCAAAACGAAAAGTCTGGAATAGAACGCATGAATGGGACGTGATATAAAAACGACCATTACTGTTTTTGTTCTTGAATCGCATATTATTGATGAATATGGATCCTAAAAGCAGATCTGAGAGAATCTTCTATTATCGCAAGCACTTCTTTCCTTTTCTATCAAACTATGGAGGGTTGGTTTCTTTCTGCAAAACTTGACACACTTGATTCCAAATGGGTGTAAGCAGTTTTATGAAAATATCACCGGTACGGATATGATGGACGATCTTGATTGGTTCAGTGGTGCTCCTGATTTTGGAGTGGAACCGTTACTGGATGAATATATTGTATTTTGTTGATTTTATTCCTACCTCAATAAAGTATCTGTAATAAAAATTTGACCAATCTTATTTTGCAGAAAGGAGCCAACCCACAAAAACCTAAATATTGAATGCAAACACTACAAACAGCAATATATTTTAAATTTTATTATTATTTATATTGCATATTCATATTTTTTGCCTACTTATGACATTAGTTGGAATTGCCTTCAATATAAACTGATTTTTTTAATACCGTCAGAACTTTAAGCCTTAATTACTCATTTGCATTTTTTGGGGATGGTCCCTTTCTGCAGAAAGCTGTCCTTTTGAAAAACAGAACTACGAGATTTTTTCTTCACTTTTCAGGCAGGTTAAAAAGTTTGTTCAGTGTTGACAGAACTGCCTCTTTCCAATAGGGAAAATTGGTAAAACTGTCAGTCTATCTTGAAATCGATAGTGTTCGGTATCTGGTTATTGATTTGTGTATAGATCATATTACGATAAATTTATCATTTACGTAACATGTTCCATCTCTTCTTATTTTTTATATAAAGTTCTATTTTTTCCATTTCAGAATCAGCAAAATAATAATTCCAAAAATATCTACAAAGTCCTGAATAATACAAGTGCTGCCATCTATCCATCATGTGCGTAAAATGCAAATATCTTTTATTCATTTACCAGTACTACCATCTAGTACCTGATGGATTTATTTTTCAAAGTATGATTTTAGTTATTTCGCATTTGACAGTCATTTGTATTTTCATTGAAAGTCATTATATTTTTCTCACTTTTAGCAAATGGATATATTTCTGTCTTTCTCTAACTTCTGATTCTGAAATAATAATTTTTGGCTTAATGACCTAACGCCATGTTTAAACTGTGATTGGGTGATTTTTTGAAACTTGTTTTAAGGTCTTTAAAAAAACGGCACATCAGAATTGGCTCAAATTTGGCATGAACATTATTTGATCGATTATCTACAATTCCTTATTTTGGTTTTTCGATATTCAGCCTTTTTTTTTAAAATTCAAAAATCATATTCGCAACCACCAAAACAATTAAATGTGTTGGTGGTTGCATATTTGCATGTTTAACAGGCTTGGATCCGTGAAAAGCATATTTTATTGATAACCACAAAAAACTAAAAAAAGCTAATTGTAGAGATTGTAGATAATATATCAAATAATGTTTATGCCAAAGGATTTTGGAAATTATTGCGGATCCTAAAACGAATTTTGAAGGTGAAAACAGTTCAAGCAATTTTAAGTAGATGGCGCCACGGCAAAAAAGCTACATTGGGAGCATCATAATTGTATATTTGTCTTTCTCTGTCACTAAGTGTTTCAGCGACTAACAGATTTTGTTTTGGACACATAATAAAATATTGAACCCTATGTGTAGAGTGACGCAGTCGTCATTTTCAAAAACTAAATTTAAACATGGCGGCCATTAACGCGGCCTTAACAGTTTTTTATTTTTGACATAACCTTAATTTAAAATATTATACTTTGTAAACAATTAAAATAATTCTAGTGGATTTTTATCTATTCTCTTTTACTCCACGCGGTTTTTCATTGTGATTTCATTGTAAAGTGAATATGATCTTTTGGGTGTACTCGTCTGATTGGTTGAACTGGTTAAAATGCAGTTAAGTATAAAAAACACAGGACCGTTTTCCTGTGGGCTTTGGTTTCTAGAAGGTTCTCTTTCCTCGGCAGAAGTCTGGCAGGCGTGTCCTTTTTATTTTTAATAATTTTTGCTCTTAATTTTTGGATTCTCCCTTATAGATTTTTCATTATATTTTGCTATCAATTCATATTATCATATCATTGTTAAATTTTTACCTGATAAATCTTATCTTATCTATTCTTGAAATATAGATATTATATTTTAATTTTTTAATCTAATTGTTGGCTTCCATTTTGTGTCAGTGTCGATTGGTTGTACCACGTTTATCTGAGGTAAGTCAATTTAGATTTTTGGACTAATAAATAAGGTTCTGCTGCTCTGGTTTTCAGAATCAATTGTTAGTGTGGGAATGTTGGACCATTTGCTCTAAATAGAGTCGGTGAAAACCAAAGGATAACGCACACCTAACATGGGATTTCTGGGCTCTATGGATTTTGCCCATTTTTTGATATGTTGTAGAGGATTTAATTCTGAACAACCTTTAAATGAGACGAAATCTTGTAGGTATTACGGTCTTTGAGATATGAGCCTTGAAAGATGAAATTTTTTGCAAGTTTTTGTGTAGAGAGTATACGAAAAACTGGTGTTTATCAGTCAAAATTTTGACAGGTCGACATATTTTACGTCACTAACAAATGTCAACATAGGCTGAGGCCGGGACCGCACTGGCGCCAACATTGACCCCAGTGCGGTCCCGGCCTTAAATTGATTGACATTAATTTTAAAGTGACGTAAAATATGTCGACCTGTCAAAATTTTGACTGATAAACACCAGTAGCACCAGCATTTCGTATACTCTCCACACAAAAAGTCGCAAAAAAGTTCATCTTTCAACGCTCATATCTCAAAGACCGTAATACATACAAGATTTCGTCCGATTTAAAGGTTGTTCAGAATTAAATCCTCTACAACATATCAAAAAATGGGCAAAATCCATAGAGCCCAAAAATCCCATGTTAGGTGTGCGTTATCCTTTGTGTGTCCATCCCTATCAACTCTTTATTGAATCCAGGCAGAGGCCTGAATAGCCATTTTCTGTTTGACTCCGTCAATTATTATTTCGAATAAAGAATGAAATTTTTTAATAGAAATCCAGACAGATCAAAAATTCAGAAAAAAGTTTTAATTAGAATATCTCAAGAATTTTGACATATTCTGGATTTGATTAATTTCAACCCCAGGCTTCTCTTGTAGTATCTATAGTGGCTACCTGCTACCTTAATTTGAGAGGAAAATTTTGTCTATTTGGGGAAGAATCCAAAGATTTAATTTCTAATTGTTTCACCTTATTTTGTTCATATTTTTGCCTGCCAGAGCTGCTGTCAGGAAAGCAGCATTTTTGCTCTATCATAACGAGCATTTTAATTTATTCTTGTTATTATTTTAATTTCATTATTATCTTACCATTATTCAACTTGCAATAGCTGTTCATATTTGATTCTGTTGGAAGGGAGTGTCTGTACAACAATCGTTTTATATTAAATTTCAATTTCAATTTCCTCTGCAAGACACTCACTTTTTGACAGAATTCAGGGATTTAATATTCCAAATATTGGTGAACCTGATACTGCCTTATTCTTTTCTGGCTACCTACTCGACATAAAGATCACTGTTGGGACTCTGGATCAGCTGGAGTGACGTCACCCCAGCAATCTATCCTCTTCCTGGATACAGGAAACAACACGAAGAGCTCCCGTTCACGAAAGTGAAATCCCAACACCCATTTGATGAGCTCCGGATTGGAAAGGTACATGGTATCAGATTCACCGGAAAAACCAAGCTGTCAACACTAAAATTTTGCAGAAAGTAACATTTACTGTTACTCTATGTTACATATAACATTGTTAAATATCAAATAAAATTATTGTTTGTTGGATTTTGAGTGGTTTCATTTGGACGTGAAGGGACTACACGTTATCTTAATTTTTTGAATTCTACGACCCTAGGTTATCTTTTCTCAATCACCATCGAAGATTTTCTTGGCCGAATTCTGGTCTATTTCTTTAGCTCCTTCATTTTTTAGGCGCCTAGTTAGTACCGAGTCATGGTTTTAGACATTTTGGGACCTCATTTTCTACTTGTACCATTGCTTCATTATTTTTCTCCATATATTCTTTAACAATTTGTAAGCCACCTGGTAATATCCAGAGGTTAATTTTTTGTCAGATTATTTTTCAAAGAAACTATGAGTTGCATACCTACAGATTTTGTTGTCTCATTGATTGATTGATTTGAAAGGGGATCCCTCACAGGCAGTACTATCTTACCTTAGGAGTCAAGAACTTTTGAGAAAGGTGCAGACCTGCTTAGGCCTGACATGCTTTATTCCATACCTGTAGATACTAGATATTCCTATTTCTTCCTACCAAATTTGGCAATAAAGTCGACCATGAAAATATCTGTTTCTGCTATGTAGTAAAATATATAGAAAGTGATTATTTGGTGCTGAAGATGGCACCCATACCTAATGGATCAAATCGTCCTGATCGGCTGCTGGAAGATTTTCAAAAGGACAACATGTGGCAGAAAATAAGTTCGCCAACAAACTTATATAATTCAAATTCTAACTAGAATTATCTAGAATGTTTGTTCCAAAAATACATATTTAGTGGCAGCCGATTGGTTTCACCTGCATCACCTTTGAATTTCAAATTCGGTCCTCTTTTTTTTTTTTCACCTGTCTAGTCGACGTCCCGACGCCGGTCGATCTTTGCCGACCCAGACGTCGCGATGCGCCAATGTTTACCACCGACGGACGTCGGCTTTTCTTCAGTTTGCCGCAACGCGTCTATTGCAAACGGACGCCTAGCGTCACGACGCTCCAAGCTCGAGGGCAGTTTTTACGCGAAGTACCTATAGGTATTAAAATTTTTTTCGTAATAATTGTAATTTATTATTAATTGATATTTTTTTGTGTTTATTACTGACATTAATTTTTTAAAGATATTTTCGTGAAAAATTGACATTTTTGTTATTGAATAAGGGTAAGTGTGAAATTTTCTTTGTGTTTTGCAAAATTTACATTTTATCGACTTTACAATAATTAATTGTAAAGAAAAAAATATGAATTTTTAAAATAAAATAAATAAACTAAAAACTTCTTACTAACAATTTCATGATTTACCTGAATTTGTTCATTTATCAACTCAATTATTTCTATATTTATTATTCAATTAGTAAATATCAAACGATGTTGAAAACGGCCCTAAAAACCTCCATATACATATTTGTATTTCATTAAACTCTTTGTGGAGGGTTAATTTATTAATCTTTATCTTTCTGACGAATAAAACATTAACTTTCAGAAATCAAACGGAAATTCCAAAAAGAAAACAAACCATTTAGTTGTTTGACTGATGAAAATGTCTACCATTTCTCCACAGCCCTTTTATGATATATTATTTATTTGATAATTTTCATTTAGGCTGATTTTTCTCATTCCTAAATAATGGATAGAATTAACCCCAAATCCCCAGGAAACATACTTCATTTATGCTGTAATTTTTTTTAATCAACTCAAAAACTTTTTATCATATTACTACAAATCGAATGGTAATTTGTACCTACTCCATTATTTTTTTTTAGGCTTATTACATTCGAAGTGTCTATATTAAATTAATGATATTGTCCATTCCAAAAGTCAATTACAGCTAATATAGTGAATTTCATTACATTAAGAATAAAGCAATGAATAAATTGAGTAATGGTAATTACTTTGGTGATTAGACAAATTAATTAAATTTTGTTTGTAGCATTTCTGAAAATTCCAATCTTTGAAGTCAAAATTAGAAAGATGCTTTAATTTAATTAAGTTGCTGGTTTCCATCACCATCAGAAAGATACAAAATAACAGAACGTTTAAATTTAAGGGTCGTAAAATAACGTTTTTGGCAAGGAGGTATTTTATTTATTTGGGAAAGGCGGTCATTAGGAAACGTTATATTTACAGGTGAGTATAATAAACAAAATGGTGTTATTGAGTAAATAAGCGAGGATTTCGAAAATAGGTTCGCGGAATTCGTGGAAGTGGGCATAAAAACTTTTAAACTTTTTCAATAAACTATTGAAAATCAGTTAGTCTGCCCTAGATCATGTATGGAAACCTTCTCACTGTATTTAAGTACCGGGTGATTGTCTATATTTTGCACCCACACATATCTCACCCAGTGGCGGAAAAAAGAAAATAAAATTTAAAAAAAAAAAAGAAAACAAAATCATATTTTAAGTTATAAGAATGTTTGGAAAGCTGGAAACCTATAAAAAATTACACTTTTGTCTTTGCCCCAAGAACTTTAATCTCAAACAGTAGATATATCATTAGTGGTTGAGTTGATATATTGTTTTTTGTTCTAATAAATAAATATTCATACAAAATCAATAAGATTATGTACGGGGTGTTTTTTTATGTATTGACTCCCCACCTACAGCCTTTACAGGTAGATGAAAGGTGTAAATACAAAAGTTGTACAGTATTGGGTAAATTAAAATCCATGGTCAAAAACAAAAATTGAATGCCAGAAATGTGAAATATTGCATGCTTTCAGCTTTTTTCAAATAGGATGCGCTATATTTGGTTCTATATTCTTGAAGAACACAATTTCCCGACTCCAAAACTACCTATATAGTTTGTCTATATTTGGTTAAGCCGTCTCCAACATATTTGGTTCTAAAAGTTTTAAAAATACTATCAGAGTAACCAAGTACCTCAAATTTTACCTGCAGCTTTCACCTGTATAGGTAGAATGGTTCACAAAATCAGTAGTACTTAGGATAGTATTTTTACAAATTTTGGAGCCAAATATAGGAAAGATTGCTCAATCAAATATAGATCGGGGCATTGTGCTCTTCAAGAATATAGAATGAAATACAGGGCATCCCATTTGAAAAAAGCTGGAAGCATGCAAAATTTCACATTTCTGACATTCAAATTTTGTTTCTGACCGTGGTTTCTAAAAATTCAGCCAAAACTGTACAACTTCTGTATTTACACCTTCTACCTGTAAAGGTAGGTGGGGTGTCAATATATAAAAAAACACCCTGTACGAATAAGTGGATTATTGCGGAACTTATGGGTGGACCTCTGCGGGACGAGCGCAGCGAGTTCCGCAGCATCTACTCACCAATATACTGTTGAACTGTTCTAATAAGACAGTCACCTGGAACGTGTAGTTTTTGAACTAATGAGAAAAATTCACAACTGAGTGAATCAGGTTAGTATTGTACTTGAACAACATATTGGTGAATAGATGGCTAGGTCCACCCATAAGTTCCGCAACAATTCTTTCGTTTGTACTTAAATAACTTGTTACAATATATTACTAGTTTGGTAAAGTAACATTACTAATTCCTGTTAAAAGGCCAATTGACAAAAAGTGGCTAATTTTACAAATTCTGACTTCATATAATAAGTTATTGTTTAAGTACAAATAAGTGGATTGTTGCGGAGCTTATGGATAGACCTCTGCGGGACGAGCGCAGCGAGTTCTGCAGCCATCTAATAACCAATATACTATTGAACTGTTCAAGTAAGACATTCATAAGACATTCACATATTCTCCTTAGTTCAAAAACTACAAGTTTCAGGTGAGTGTCTGATTAGAATAGTTCAATAGTATATTGGTGAGTAGATGGCTGCGGAACTGGCTGCGCTCGTCCAACAGAAGTCCACCCATAAGTTCCGCAACAATCCACTCGTTTATACTTGAATAACTTAGCACAATATACAGGGTGTCCCACGGTGGATGGCGTATTAGACGTTAATGGAGAACTAAAAAGCGGATTGTTTTGAAAACCGGGATAAACGACCATAATCTACACTTTGAAAATATTTTTGTTTATGCGGTGTTGCCGCTTCTACTCCAAACCAGCGGCAACATCGCTATTTTAAATAGAACATTCTGTATTTGATTGCATATTTGGATTATACGTAAAATTATGAACAGATTTCATGTGATATACCCTATACCCAAGTTCAACTGTTTCAGAAATATTGACAGTTGAAAATTGACTTTTCGCAACTTTGACAGGTTGTGAAACCTGAACGGTTAATTTTAGAGGAAAACCGATTTCACATTCCTGTCTTAGATTTTCATAAACTATCATTTGACACCAACTTTGAATTTAACCGGAGATTAAACTTAATTGGAATATTTAATCATGGATTAAATTCAAAGTTGGTGTCAAATGATAGTTTATAAAAATCTAAGATAGGAATGTGAAATCGGGTTTCCTCTAAAATTAACCGTTCAGGTTTTACAGCCTGTCAAAGTTGCAAAAAGTCAATTTTCAATTGTCAATATTTCCAGAACAGTTGAACTTAGCTATAGGGTATATCACATGAAATCTGCTCAGAATTATACGTAGAATCCAAATATGCAATCACATACAGGGTTTTCCATTTAAAATAACAATGGTGCCACTGGTTTAGAGTAGAAGTGGCAACACCGCATAAACCAAAATATTTTTAAAGTGTAGATTATGGTCGTTTATCCCGGTTGCCAAATTTTTAATCTGATCGGCTTTTTAGTTCTTCATAAACGTCTAATACGCCATCCACCGTGGGACACCCTGTATTACTAGGTTGGTTAAGTAACATTACTAATTCCGATTAAAAGGCAAATTGACAAAAAAGATAATCTTACAAATTCTGACTTTATACAATAAATTATTGTTCAAGTACAAATAATTGGATTGTTGCGGAACTTATAGGTGGACCTCTGTGGGACGAGCGCAGCAAGTTCCCCAACCATCTACACACCAATATACTGTTGAACAGTTCAAATAAGATACTCACCTGAAACATGTACTTTTTAAACTAATGAGAATAACTCACATTTGAGTGAGTCAGGTTAGTATCGTACTTGAACAACATATTGGTGAATAGCTGGGTTCACCCATAAGTTCTGCAACAATCCACTCGTTTGTACTTGAATAACTTGTCATGATATATTACCACTTTGGTAAAGTAACATTACTAATTCCTGTAGAAAGGCGAATTGACAAAAAGTGGATAATCATAGAAATTCCGACTTTATATAATAAGTTATTGATCAAGTACAAATAAGCAGGGTGCAAAAACATCATGATATTTACATAAATATCAAAATATCCGATATTCTATGATATATATCAGATCGACATCATCGCTTCAAAAACTGTCCTTGTTGACAATTACTAAGGCATTTGTTCAAACTTCCCGATCAAGTAATACTAGCAAGGAAACTAGATATACCTGCATACTTATAACAGTAATAATATGATAACTCGTAGGTGGACGTCGCGAAAGTAGAATTCTAGTAGAAGCCCCTTCTGGGGCACTTATTTTTGAAACCAGAGATCAGTGTTCTCATGAGAATGATTGCCTTGTCTTTCTCAATAATATTCAAATGATAGTATAAGTATTAAGTAACAAAGACGGGACACTCATTCTCATGGGAACGCTGCTCCATTGTTCCAAGAATAAGGGCCCTAGTTACCAAAAGCGTTTTGGCGTCTGGTTACTTAATGGTTAATATTAAATATCGCTGACCATATGCCAACCGGGATCCTAACATTCCTTACCATTTCGTTACCGCTTTAAAACTACTTTTCGTAACCCAGTTAACGCTGAAACTCGCTCAATTTTAACTCAACTATAATTAACCCAAACTGTAACTGTATAACTTGAACTGAACCTAATATGAATTTCAATTCTTTTTGGGGGATAAATATCGTGATATTTCCAAAATAAATATCGGAATATATGTCATGATATATATCAACTGATATACACTCATCAAAAAAGTCTAGGGAACAAGAAATATTCGTCTTTTAATTTTTAAACAGAATAACTTTTTTTTAAAAGATACCATATGGGTATTTGTTGAACAAATCTTGTAAAATTTATCATATCGGCTTTTCCAGCAGGCTTTAACAAAATTTAAAAATCTTTTAAAACTATATTTTGCTCAATTTATAAATGTATTCAGTTGCATCTTGTTCCCTC